TTCTCTCTCTCTCTCTCTCTCTCTCTCTCTCTCTCTCTCTCTCTCTCTCTGCGGTAACATTCGCTGCGCGTTATCGTTAATTCTTACGTTCGCATCGCGCAATTATTCTAAAATTTCAGCGACGGCGACGGCGACTTTTAACTCCTCTCGTACGAGACATTCCCGATTAGAACTCGTAAGAATCTCGTCATCGCTGAAATTTTTCGATAACATTTGATAACATTTTTTTCGCATCATTCGTGGATATGATAAGAATTCTCGATTGCTCTGTCGTGGTTGTACGAATCATTATTCAACGCATGCTGTATTATTTATAACAATAAATCGCACCGATGCTAAGTCGTGAAGCATAAACTAATTTCTGAGCTAAATTAAAATAATAGCTGACTAATTAAGTATTCGCAAATAGGAAATTTTTATTATTATTCCATTCCGCTTATCTATGTATGCATATTGAGTGCAAAAGAAGCTTATCATGCGAAAATAACTATGCTAGATTAAGTTACTGATAGATTTAACAATTGATTTGTTATAACATAATAATCCTAAAGAAAGTAAAATCAATGGTTTTGTTTCTTTCAGAATTATTATGATTATAGTAAATCGAGATATCGAATCTATCAATATTGTGTTACGATTGAATTTCATTTAATCAACACATTATGGATTATAAAAAAAAGATTATTAAAGATATTAAATGAAAAATATGTGAAATACAATAATCATTAAAATATTGATATTTATCGAAACGGATATATCGTCAATTAATAAAATTAAATAAAATCTGCTCGTTTAAGAGAACGGTCGTTAAACACGATGTTGTAATTATTAATTTTGGACGCAAGTTGATGTTGAAAACATTATTTGTGCAACATGCCAATTACTGGGAAATGCTTTCGAGCTGGAAATAGATATCTTGGATCACTGGTTATCATTACGCAGCTATTTAACGTTTTATATGTGTACGTTACAGCTCAACTGTAAATACTGTCGCTGCATCACGACAAACGTCCGTCACTTCTCGTGGTTGGGGAAAAGTCGACTCAGAAATTCGTCGTGGAATTCACGCTTTTAAGAGACCGTGTATACGACTGCCTCACACTCTGCTTAACCCTTAGGCACAAAGTTTCCCTTTTATTATGTAAGAAGAGTTGTCTCTTAGAGATTATCTTTGTATTTCTCACCCCAGCGGCCAAACCTAAATTAAATTTAAGACAAACGGTTAAATTTAAGACGAACGGGACGAGGGTTTTCGGGCGATTAGATTAAGAAAAATGAGATAACCGCTACAAGACATTTAAAGTACAACGCATAATTAAAACAGCATAACAACGCTTATACCTTCACATTAAAATTGTCGCTTCAGGAAAATTTAATAATCAAAATGTGGAGTTAAAAAAAAAGAATTCTATCGCTCCGTAAATCATTTTGATTATTTTAGAAAAGTAAGAGAAAAGAGTAAGAGTTCCGAGAAAATAAAATTATAAATCTAAAGGATTATAACGCGAATAACGCGACCAATGCGATTATCTCGATGTATCATTCTTCGAAAATCAATTAGGCAGAAAAAAGAGATAAAAATCGTATAGTTGGATGAATCGATTCCCATAAATTTTATCTTTGGATCTCATTAATTTAAAATTCGGTTTAACTGCTACGACCGTATTATGTAATTCCGCGAATTATTTAATCTTTGGGCCGCTACGATGAAACTATCTGGGATATAATCCAATATGGTCTATGCGGAAGGGTTAACGGCTAGGATGTGTGGGCGATCATGTTGCGGTACGTCCATCGATTTTACGAGTCTCGGGCGACCTTCGTGTACACGCACATTATCTCAGTTGGCCCAGAAGGAAGGCGAGCATCACCAGAACCGTCTTGGAATTAGGTGAGCCGGCTGCCGTGTTTCCGTGCTGCATCGCGGCCGGATGTTCACCTGGAACAGAAACAAGTGCTCGTAAAATACTTCTCTTTTTATTTTCAGCGATCTAGCGATCTCAATGGAATACAATGGAAATGCAATTCGAGCATTCGAGGATGTAGGGACCAAAATGTAGAAATTTAATTCTTTTTATCATTAGAATACAAACAATGCGATATTAAAGAAAATAAATTATATATTAAACAAATGCGAAAGTGCACACGCCATATTGTTTGACTGGATCATTTTTATGAATATTTATTCTATAGTTCTTTACATTCGTAACGTCCGAACTTTTTGAAAATAATACGTTTTTGGCGGTTTTAATATTTTACAACATTAAATTTTTCCGCTGTTAAGCCAATTCCGTTAGATCATGATAAATTTAAAAAATTTTAACTTTTACCCACTACAAAGTATGGTAATTGTAAATTAAATAGCACAATAGTAAATTATATTATAAAGAATTTTAGTTTTTCAATTTTCTACATGCATATACACGTAGCACACTTTGCCATGCTTTTCAAAAATATAAAACATATATATTTCAAAATTTCGCATTTATTCTGGTGGTATTATTTCACAATTCTATCTATCCATGACAAATTAAAAGTGCTTCTACCTACGCTTTTATCTACGTAAAACATTGTAAAATCGTAAATTCACAATGCGGTAGTAAATAGTGTCATAATGCGCTTCTTGGCCATTTGTACAGCTAGATACAGGATCTCCGGGCATAAATTGTTAAAGAATCCTCACCGTGGAACAGGACGGGTATTTCGAGATGAAATAGTCTCAAGTTTTGACGTAATTCTATGTCGGTGTCAGAGCCTCGGCGGATTTGCAGAATTGGGGTCAGTGTAATATAGCAACGGTACAGAGGAAGTGGCAGCGTGTTTCTCGTGCGTCGGGGTATTCGCACCCTCGATTGATTTCTTGGCGAATAGATTCTGGAATTGGAACGAGCAGGGCGGTTTGCGCCGTCTTTCGTCTTTACTTGGCTCGACGAACGGCAAACACGAGTACATTTTATTATCCCTCCAGTAATGCCACTTTTGGGAGGAAAGATTCAATTTTGAGTTCGGTGTATTTCGGAAATAATCGATATATATATAAAATATATAAAATATATAAAATATATAAAATAGATTGCCGAGAAAATTTATCGCAAATATTCTCGGAATATCATCGTGTCGTTCTTCTTAATTTCTTAATTGTCACGTAATTTTATACCTTTATCTCGCATTTTTTTATATTTTTAATTTAAAATTGAAATTTCTTTAAATTTAAATTTTAGACTTCTTGGAATTCATTTAATTTAAATCCAATTGTTTGATACGGTCACTGGCGACGCTGCATAGAAGTGTATAAGTGATGCATTGCGCAAAAAATCAAATCAAGCGGCATTATAGCTTTTCTCATTCCCGTCACTCCGTACCCGCGCGATTACCATCGATTAATATGCGCCATGCGAATTCAGCTGTTACGTGCATTTTTGAAACAATCGTCCCATAACGTACGTTTCTATAAACCGCGTTCATTTGTGCTCTCACTGCACGATCGGATTCGTTATTTAGTTTTATACGAACGTTCCAAATACCGATCATATTTGCATCTATTCCATCCATAACGCATGCTGCCGAGAGAAGTTTGACATTGATAATCGAGCGATTACGTTGAAAATTGTATTGTTACAAACTCGTCGATGTAACTTTTAATACTATTTTAGCTCCAGATGTTATTTAAGATAAAAATTTCTAATAAAATACGCGAAACAGTTACGATCGTATAAAATTAATTTATAAAAAAATTTTATTTTTATATTAAACGCAAATTTATTGATGTAAAAGAGTGACACTGCTAGTTAATCGGTAAATTATTCAAATGTAAAATGATTTGTTCGCAATATTTATTCGCGACTTTTTCGAATAGAATAATATTTCAGAATAACATTCTAAAAATTATAAAAAAATTTTTAAAGCAAGAAAAAAATGGCATGATGCGTTAAATGAATTTTAAGTTTCGTCAATAAAAGAAAAATTTTTAGCTTTAATGAAGTTCGCATTTTTAAATCTCTTTGTGTCTACATCGGACGAGATGCGTCGTGTCGCCTCGCAACGAGAGTGACGAGAGATTCGTCGAAAATGTTCCGCGAGCGACATGGGATTGCGTAATTAACTGTGTAATTAATCGAGAATTGAAATTCAACGGGATTCGTCAGCGATTTCGCGCCACGACAGAACAATGGAAGTTATTAATACATCCGCGTAACGCGCGCGGCACGGTACGGCAAAGGCGAATTTCGGCCCGAACCTCGTAACAGCGGCAGAGAATGGGACAAAGTATAATTAGCCGAATATGCGAGCTAAATGAATTTTGCATCGCCGTTTAGCGCGCGCTCGAAAGCAGAGAAAGCGAATCGTGATTACGGGAGGCAGACGGATATAGATAGATATATGAGATATTACCCGATATGAATAATGAATAATTCAGCATAAATTTCGAAAAAAAAGGGCGAGCGAATTAAATAAATTTTTGCAGTTCTGTGCGCCGCGGAAAGATCGCTCCGTATCGCAAAAGTGGAAATTTTCCCGTTTAACAAGATATAACGTTTAAGAAAGAGGAACATTTCATAAATAACTGTCTCGTATTAAATTTTCATCCGGCGCGCGTTAGAACTCTTTGAAGAATAGAACACCGTTACCACCCTCTCTCTTTCTCTCTCTCTCTCTCTTGACGCACGCTCGTATAATTACATCTCCGCAAATGCGCCCCGGCGCATTTGGCACTGGAGGACGCACGATTTCGCGAAATTAATGTTCTTCCAACAGACGACGGGCGCTGAGTCCCAAATGAAAGAAATAAGTCGGCGAGTCGTACAAATCGCGGCCGCAGAGCGCGTTCGCCTTGCCTTCTTCCTGTTATGCATATCTGAATATTTATCTTTCCGGAGTAGCCGGAGCGCGTATTCATCGAGCATGGAGGAAAGATGAATTCATGCACTTCGCCCGAGATAATTGCACTTCGGCCGAGGTCCGCAGCTCATTTGCACTGCCGGAAGAAATGCGCTCTTTTTCGACGATGAAAGGCGGCACTTCATTCGTTATTTGTATCAGTTTCCGCTCGCCATCCTTCATTTCCGCCTGCCAAAAG